CCGGGGTCCCAAACTGGACGGGGAAGTCTTCAGGTTCGCAGGGAAGCCGCGGTGTGGGCATGGCCCTCCATGGCCCAGCAAGGTCTCCGGCCAGTCCCGTGGCTGTGCAGCAAGGAACGCCTTTGCCCCTGTCTCGCTGTGTTCTCATCCATCCGTCTCAGGCATGAGCCAGTGTACGGGAGCTGAGGCGTGGTTCGATTTATTTTAGATCCAAGGGAAACCAGGACACTTCAGGGCTACTTAACCACTGTCTTATTTATTGCCAGTTTTCAGCAGTTCATACAGGTACAAGCTTAAGAACAAGGGCTCTACAATTGAAACCTTAAATACTATAGATTCTAAACTAAAGCAATGAATACAGTGCAAAGGAATGCAAAAGCAGTTACTAAAAGATCTACTCTATACAGGGGGAGATTAGAGTTTTGCGGGGTCCAGGGCAGCACAATTTTGCGGGGCCCTCCTTTGGAGAAAAAATAGAACGCTCTCTCTCAGCTCTCCTTCGCCTCCTGCCTCTCTCTCCGTCTCTCTCTTTCTTTTCTCCTCCCCCTCCTGCCTCTCACTCGCGGAGCCCAAACGGCCGTTTGCGCTACTTGCTCCCACGCGGGGGCCCGGCTAAGCGGCGCAGATCTCAGCCAAGCGCCACGGCGGGAGATGAAGGGAGGCGGGGCGGTGACATTCACGGCCAAGGGGCGGGACCTGGAGCCTCTGTCACGCCCTTCGCCTCCCGCCGGGGGGCTCCTGCTGCACGGGGAGCGCAGGGCCCAAATGGCCGCTTGTGCCGCAGCTTGCTCCCGTGCGGCAGCTCGGTGCAGGGCCTACTGAAGCGCGGGGCCCGGGGCAGTCGCCCCACTCGCCCTGCCCTATATCCGCCGCTGACTCGATACAATAATAAAGCCTAATTCACTTACACTTCCCCCGTCTGCTACCTACAGTGCCAGGCAGGAGGTCGTGGTTCCGTCTCTTCCCACGCATAGAAACGCCACCTCTGATGTAGCCGGTGGGAAGGTCCTAATCACGTCTAGTACCTCGAGCAAGACGTGTGGGTTGACCCTGCCCATTCCCTCTAACCGATTGTTCCTACTAACCCCAATTCCTAGCAAAGCGAGACTTGATCGTGCTAATCATATTTACCGATTGATGGCGTGTTGTGCAGGATAGGTAAAAACCCAATGCCCTAGTTGGGGTATCTCACGCTGCTCAGGATGTTGCTGCTACGTGCACAGCAGACAGTTTCATGGCTGCGTCTGTATTTTTGCTTCACACACATGTCCCCGTAAGTCACTACCCTGCGCCGCATTCATCAAAACATTACAGCAAATCCCCTCTTCTGCCGCACTGGGATGGGAAGGATCCCAGGAGTGGGGACATGGGCTGAAAGTGATATCCTGGGAGTGGGAGGGGCAGGAGGTGATATTCCTTGGGAAGGGGGGAGGGATGTGGAAAGGGGGCATCTCGGGGGAAGGAGGGAAGGAAGGAAGACCTGAAGGAAGGATGGGGATGGAGGAGGGACGGGGTGAGATCTTGCAGGAGAGGGGGCTCCAGGGTGTGTGTTGCATCCCATGAGAGACAGGGGAACACCCAACAAAGCCAAAATGTGCTGACCTTGTGTGTCCCCAGCTGGCAGATATGGAGAAGAACCCGGACATGACGACTGAGAGTAAATCAAACGAGACAGACCATGAGCTGAGACTCAGCCAGGCCATAGGTGAGGACTATGAGGACACGTCCTACGACCGGGGACAACTGAACCCAAATGACTACTACTGTGATAATGACCGCACGGCCACCTTCACCCTCACCAACGCCGTCCCCATGGACCCCTGCTTCCACCAGCTCCTCTGGAGCAAGCTGCAGCAAGTCCTCAAGACTTATTTAAATGAGAACTGCATCCGTCCTGGAGGGAGCCCCTACCTGGTGACAGGAGCTGTGGCCAGTGGCAGCATGCAGATCCCCAGAGAGGACACAGATAAGGAAGGGGACCGTAACCGGGCGTACAACCAAGTCTCGGTGCCCAGCCACATCTGGACAGCTGTGTGCTGCGACCAGGCAGATGACACCCAAAAATTCTCCGTGGCCTTCCTAGCAGAGAACAAAGAGGAGTCCAGGCTCCAAATCCTCCCTGTGGAGGAGCTCAACGCAGAGCTAGCGCGTCTGTACAACGCTTCTCAGCCCTTCAAGATCTTTAGTGACAACTGCGGCACCAACACCACAAAAGAACAAATAGTTTCATCAGCAGTAAAATCAGCCTGGTACACCACCTTCCAGACCTTGCTACTAGACTCTTACTCCCAGCTCTTCCCACCAGATGAGAGAAGCCGACTGGATGCGGAGACCGCCCAGGTGATGGGGAACCTGAACTTGGATAAGGACAGTGTGCGGCTGACAGGCATTGAGTTCGCAGTGACTTTTCCCAGTGTGGCACACTGGTACAGGAAGTTTAAGGAGATATACGACCAGGGACACCTCAGCTGTGTGCTGACCCCTGCTGCTGCAGCGGCAAAGGATCCTGGGACTTCAGACAGAGTCTGCACCCTTCAGAAACAGAAACACCTGCCGGGTTCCACTGTCACAGCCGGTGGGTGGAGCTGCGTTGGGGAGCCCTGTGGGCAACACAACCAAACTGACTACAGCTGGTGTTACACGTAAGCAAGTGCACGATGAATCCAGAGTCAGAGCAGTACAGTTGCTGAAGAGGAGATGGCACCACCGTGGCATGCTCCCCCCAGTACTCCACCGTGACGATCAAAGGGGTACCCTGCCGGGGTGACCATCCCTGTGGCCTTTATGGGAAAGTTTACCACTGGTGCTATACTGATGACCACTGGAACTGGGATTACTGCTGCTCCCCCCGGCACTACTGTGGGTATCATAACGAGACTTACAACTGGTGTTACATCGATGATCCAGAGAAATCCTGGCAATACTGCACCCCGTAAAATGCCCATTGGTAGGCAGGGGGCAGGGTGAGCTTCCTTGGCTCTTTCCCAACAAAGCTTAGAAGAAATGAATCAGCGGCCCGGCAGGACCAGGGATCTACCCCGCCACCCCGCGCCAGACAAGGCCCTCGCCCCGGGTCGGAATAACGTCACGCTTCCAGAATGGCTCCCGCACAGCCCTCAGATGATTTGTGCTTTGCTTGGACCCTTTCTCTCCCCCTTTCTCTCCTATCTGGCTGAAGGCACCAGCTATTAAACAGCACCTTGAATTTCCCAGCGTGTTTGTCATAGGCCTGGGCGGGCGGAGGTCTCTGCTCGCCAGGTGTCTCGGCTGCACTAGAATGGGGTCGGGGACACCTTGGCTCACTGGGCCCGTCTATGCTGGGGAGATGCCCCAACGCTCTGCCCTGGGCGCCCCTCCAGCATACGGAGCATCCCCCGGACTCCTGTGGGGGTCAGAGCCCCGGGGGGGAGGGTCTGGATCCTGACTGGCAAGCAGGGCACCCAACTACATTCCCCGAGAGCCCCCAGAAGGCCCCGCCCCATGGGTGAGCTCAGCATGGCCGGCCCCAAAGATTCAAAATCCCAACCCAGCCCCTCCAGGATTCATGCGGCTGCCCCCAAAGCCAGGCCCTGAGAGAGATTCGGGGGCGGAGGGTGTTTTCTCGTTCGGAGCGCCCCCTGCTGGGTGTGCGTGTGAGAGAGAGAGTGTGTGTGGGAGAAAGGGTGTGTGTGTGTGTGATAAAGGATGTGTGTGTGAGAGAGAGAGAGTTTGTGTGCGTGTGTGTGAGCGGGTTTGTGTGACACACAGCGAGGGAAGAGAAGGGAATTGGCCCTTTGGACCCACCCCCACCCCAAAGGCCCGTCAATTCACCCCCCACCTGCCTGTCCCCACATCTGCCCATCCCCCTACCCATTGCTTTATCAGGCCTCCTCAGCCCCCTAGCAGGGAGCGTCCCCTCCCCCAGCCCTTCCACCTGCCCCCACTGCCAGCCTCACATTCGTTCTGCCGCACACCCGCCCTTTGCCCCCAGCCCCACTTCGGCTCTCTGCCGCCATTGGAGGTTCTTCCCCTGGGCTTCCCGTGAGGGACAGTGTCTCTCCCTTTCCTACAGTGCAGGGGTCACATGCTGGGTGTGGGGGGAGGCCAAGGATGGCTGGGCAGTGGCTCCATCTCCGCGCCCATTCGGGGAGGAGCACTTGGCATTTTGGGATCCCTGGGGGGGCAGGGACCATGATGAAGACACGCCATGAAGCCATGGGAGAGCTGGGAGCCCGGGGAGAGACCCAAACCCTTTTCCACAGGCTGCCCGGCACCCTGCACCTCAGCCCAGCACACGAGTCCTGAACAAGGGTCAACCCGAAATTCGTACCCGCCTCCGCCACACCGAGCCTCGGGCCCCCGCAGAGGCGACTTCTCACAGCTAGAAAGCGGAGAGCCACACCGGTGGGGGGGGTTGGGTACACACCATGTGCCCGCCTCCACATTCGTCCCCCCAGAGCGGAGCTGCGGAGACCCACGCCTGAGACTCATGGCTCTAAAGCGGGGACCTGCGGGTTTGAAGGGCGCTAGCCGTTTCAGTCACAACCGCGTCTGCGCGTCGCGCTGCGGATAGAGGTCACCGGAGCGTCGGTCTCACACACGGCCCTGTCCAGCTGGGGATGTGCGTTGCTAGAGAGAGGAAAACCACCCCCCGGTAGCCCCCAGGTCAGGGTGGGTCCCATTGTGGGACCAGTGCTGGGAAGACCCCTCGTACAGGCCTCCACCGACCCCCGGCAGGGAGAGAGCTGGGAGGAGTCCTTGCTCCCGTCCATGCCTGTGGGGCATTTGGCACCCCAAATCTTCAACCCCAGCATGCACCCCCAATCCTAAATGCCCCGGTCCAGCCCTGAGCTCCCTACCCCAGCTACTTCAGCTACAACCGCTCAAGAGAGAGATCTGAGAATCACTATGGAGAGTTCTCTGAAACCATTTTTGCAGTCAAAAAAGCAAACAGAATGTGAGGAATCATTAAGGGACAGAGAATAAGACCGAGAATATCTTATTGCCTCTGTAGAAAACCATGGGACGCCCACATTTTGAAAACTGAACGCAGACGTGGTCACCTCGTCTCCAAAAAGATCTCCTGGCAGTGGAAAAGGTTCAACAAAAATGATTATGGGTTTGGAACGGGTCCCCTATAAAGAGAGATGAAAAAAGACATGGACTTTTCAGCTTAGAAAAGAGGAGACAAAGGGGGGATATAGGAGAGAAGTCTATAAAATCGTAACTGGTGTGGAAGAAGTGAATACAGAAACGTTATTTACTTTTTCCCATAATATAAGAATTGGGGGTTAACCGATGAAATGAATAGGCAGCAGGTTTAAAACAAACCAAAGGAAGTGTTTCTTCACGTAGTTCACAGTTAACCTGTGGAACTCCTCGCCGGAGGAGGTGGTGAAGACTAGGACTTGAACAGGGTTCAAAAAAGAGCTAGATAGATTCATGGAGGTTAGGCCCATCAACGGCTATTAGCCAGGAGGGGTAGGGATGATGTCCCTCGCCTCTGTTTGCCAGAAGCTGGAATGGGCAACAAGGGTGGGATCACATGATGATTCCGTGTTCTGTTTACTCCCTCTGGGTATCTGGCATTGGCCACTATGGGCAGAGATGACAGTGGGCTGCATGGACCTTCAGTCTGAACCAGTGTAGTCATACTCATGTTCTTACGAGTCCCTCATCCCCAGAACCCAGGCCTCCAGCCGAGTTCACTTTCCAAAACACATCTCAACCCACTGCGACAGTCCTGAGCCCCCTCCTGCATTGCAACCCCTCGGCCTCACCCCAGCCCCATAGCCATTGGTGCACAGAGCAAAATTCATTCCACACATGCATGGGAAAAATGGGAGGGAAGATTGCGAGCCCAGCACTCAAGAGAACGGGGCGGTGGTGGGAGGAGAATCGACTAATGCCCTTCACGTCTGGAGGAGAATTCACGGAGGGATTTATAAATTCTCCCGACTCCAAGGCCCATTCTCGACACAGAGCTGCCCGCTTGGCCTTGCCAGCCCCGTTCTGCACTGCAGGCTTCTGCTGCAAAGGTCAGAGGGTACAAAGAGACGTGGGCCCTGAGTGTCGGAGCAACTAACACCCCTCCCTTCCCTCAGGGCAGCGGGGCCTAGTGGGCAGAGTCAGAAACACTTCTCCCTTCCCTCAGGGCAGCGGGGCCTAGTGGGCAGAGTCAGAAACACTTCTCCCTTCCCTCAGGGCAGCGGGGCCTAGAAAGCTGCGACCGGAAGGTTTTCCCGCCTTTTTCCTGACAGTTGGAGGTAAACAAGTTCCGGTTGGAACCGGAATCTCCTCAGGAACGCTACGGTGTTTCCCTGCAGGGGCAGATTCTATGGGGTCTCTCACCCCTCCCTTCCCTCAGAGCAGTCAGTAACCCCTCCATTCCCTCAGGGCAGTGATGCCTAGTGGCTATAGTCACTAACATTGCTCCCTTCCTTCAGGACAGTGATGCCTATTGGCTATCGTCACTAATGCTGCTCCCTTCCCTCAAGGCAGTGAAGCTTAGTGGCCAGAGTCAGTAACACTTCTCATTACTTGCAGGGCAGCGGGGCCTAATGGGCAGAGTCAGTAATACCCCTCCTTTCCCTCAAGGCAGCGGGGCCTGCTGCTCAGAGGAACAAGCACGTAGCACCCAAGCTCTTGGGGACGTATCCCCACGCCCTGGGCTACTTCTTATCAGACTTGCCGCAGCCGCCTTCTCCACCACTTCCCTCTGCCTGGGGGGTTTCGCTGCCCGCTCCTGGCTGACTGGCTCCGTGGGTCGGTCTGCCCGCAGCTCATCCCCTGACGCTCCCACCGCCCCTTCTTCCCCGGCGACTGTCCGCCCCGACCCAGCTGCCCCGCCGGCCTCGCTAGCCAGCTGGCGCCTGCCCCGCTGGGCTGCGGGACCACGGCTCTCCCTGCCAGGGCCCCGGGTCCAACATGGGCAGGTCCCGTGCAGGGTCGGTGCCCCTCATGCCACCGGGAACCCAGCCCCTTGTGCACAGTGAAATCCTGGGCGTGTCTTATGAGCCGTAGGCACGTTTTAACGTATTGTGGGGCCGCCGTTTTGCTTTTCAAAATGGAAGATGGGTCATGTGACCAGAAGGCTGACCGGTCAGGTTTTCCCGCCTTTTCCTGACAGTTGGGTGTAAACAAGTTCCGGTTGGAACCGGAATCTCCTCAGGAACGCTACGGGGTTTCCCTGCAGGGGCAGATTCTATGGGGTCTCTCACCCCTCCCCTGCCTCAGAGCAGTCAGTAACCCCTCCATTTCCTCAGGACAGCGATGCCTAGTGGTCAGAATCACTAACACTGCCCCCTTCCCTCAGGACAGCGATGCCTAGTGGCCAGAATCACTAACACCCCTTCCTTCCCTCAGGACAATGATGCTTAGTGGCTATAGTCACTAACACTGCTCCTTTCCATCACGGTAGTGATGCCTAGCAGCCAAAGTCACTAACACTGCTCCCTGCCCTCAAAATAGAGGGGCCTAGTGGCCAGAGTCAGTAACACCCCTCGCTTCCCTCAGGACAGCAAGACCTAGTAGCCAGTTAATAACACCCTTCCCTTCCCTCAGGGCAGTGGGACCAGGGTTAGATGGACCTTTGGGGTGACCCAATATGGCTGTTCTTATGTTCTGCACCAGCCTGTATAGCCGGCCTCCCGCTTCAGCCTGCCCAC